AGTCAGTGCAAGGATCAGAGTTGAACACAAATGTTAATCCAGCTTATGAGACTGTTGTTGTTTATGAATATGTAATGTAAATACAAAATATAACAGTTATTTAGTTAATGCATTTATTGCTGTAATTTCTACAAGATGGTGATGATGTCTCCAAGTGCTTTGGTTTCTTTAAATTTGTCAAAAATTATGATTATAAATTTATAATAAATTCAAAATCAGCTCAAACTTTCTACACAAGATAAAAACATGTATATGTATCAGAAATGATTATAAAATTTAAAAATTCCTCCCAGTCATTTTTGGCAAAATTTGGCCAAATACTTTGTACATAAGTACAAGGACTTTGGTCCAATTTTGGAGCACCTTAAAAATTTATAAATAACTAAGCTTTTTAGATTACCTCATTTGACCAATCAAATTGCCTCATTTTACCAGACTATAATCTAATTTCTATCAAAATCAGCTTAAACTTGAAAACATACAGCATAAGTACTTGTACATGCATCAGGAAAAATTTTTTTAATGAAGAATTTTCTCCTGGTCATTTTTGGTGAAACTTGGCCAAAAATCAAGTGCCTGGCAATGTTAAATTCAGAGAAATTCCAGAGACCTTATAGCATTACCATCAATTTCACCTGATGCTGGTATGCATTTGCAATACTCAAGTCAGCAATAAGATGCTTACGTTAAGGTAATTATTGATTTTACTATAATAAAATTATTACTGTTTTTATCTTAAAACAGCATTTCTATAAACTATCCAGTGTTGACTGAGCCAAGCCTTCATCCACATTCACCAAGTGCTTTTGAACAGACCAAAACATTTGAAAACCTCAGTTCTGATGTATACACATCAGCAAGTATTAACAGTCCCAGTGTCATTATACATGAGGATAATTCAGTTTTTATTCTCTACTGCTGGATCTGATCATGCTCTATTACCTGAACCTGCTCCTACGACCTCATACCAAACTACAGCTGCAGAGGAAGAAAAGGTTTTCAGTCACATAGCAACTAATAATTTATTATTATATGTATTATAGGTTAATAAGCCTCAAAAAGTTAGAGCTGGTAGCGAGCCTTTTGAAATTGTACACATATAAATGGAGACTGCATGGAAAGGCAACAAATGACTAAATCATTCAATAGAAATTTAAGGCTCCATCATTTAGATATTAATTCTGCTAAAATTATTTATATACATATATTAAATCACAGATTGAACAAGCAGCAATTATAATTTTGTATGGACTGGATCTGTAAAATTATATTATCACTTTACTTTTGTGTGCTAAATTTTGTAATTCTTTTTTTTTTCAAAAAGTGACGTGTTATTTCAGATGTCAATCAGAATTAGGCCAAACCACATAAAAGGCATTGATTTGCATAAAAATGTTCTTAAAATTCTTTCATTCTTACAAAAATTAAAATTCTCTCTTAGCCACTTTTGATAAAAGAATACCCTGGGATTTTGGCTTAATAGTCAGGCAGATTTGTGCAAATATTGGCATGAAAT